GAGCAGCCGGCGAAGGGGCGGCCCCCAGAGCCCCGCCGGGGCGGGCGAAGTGGCCCCACCGCCGGCGCTCCGGCCCGCCCCGCTTAAAGGCGCCGCAGACGCCCCGTCGGGGAAGGAGGGAAGGAAGGAAGGAAGGAAGGAAGAGGCGCGCCGCCGAGCAGCCCGCAGGTGAGCCGAGCCGAGGGGGAGGCAGAGGGAGGCGGCGAGGCCGGGGAAGGGGAGGCCGGGGGCGGGGGACGCCGGACAGCCGGGGGCTCCCTCCCTCCCTCCCTCCCTCCCTTCCTTCTCCGGACTCTTCCCGGGCTGGGTCTGGCCCGTCTTCAGCCCCGGCCCGGCTGCCTTTTCCTCCTGGTGGCGGGGGAGGGGGCGATGCAGTGCTGCCAGTGGGCGTCCAGGGTCTGGGAGCCCTTGGTTCGAATCCCCCTCCCCCCCCCCGACTCTGCTGTGGAGTGGGGGCCAGGTGACCTTGGGCCCGTCAGTCTCAGCCTAGCCCGCCCCAGCCGGCCGGGGACCTCTTCTCCTCAAGTCCCACCCTTGGGGAGAAGGAGGGCAGGGGGAGGACCCCCCCCCCATTGCAGCTGCAAACCCTGCCCCCAACCCTCACCCCCCCCCGCGCCCAGCTGCAGACAGACTACCGGGGAAGACCAGCAGGGGCATCCCTGAAGCAGGCCAGTGGCGGCGGGGGGGGGGGGGGGGGGGGTTTTTTGTGTTCTGGGCTGCCTCCTTCCCCTTCGGGACAGCATGAGATGCCTGCTGCTCTTTTAAAACGGGGAGGCTGCAGATGTCCTGTGCAGAAGAACCCGTGGAGGATTCCCAGACTCAGCTGGTTCCTCCTGGCGATGTGAGCAGTCTTCCCTCTAAGATGAGTGAGTGTGAGGCAGCTCACAGTTTCTTAGCCTCCAGCTCACACACTTTTGTCTCGGCTCAGGAAGGATGGGGCTCCAGAGCAGAGTGATTGATGCAGTATAGCCAAAGTCGCTCGCTCACCACTTGAATGCCAGCAGCTCACAAAGTAGGATTCTTGCTCACAGGACTCCACAGCTTAGAGGGAGCCTTGGATGTGGCCGGGATGGCGGCAGCCCTTCCCCCCCCCCAGATATGGGGGGGGGGTATGTAACAGAAAGGCTGCCCACCCACCCACCGACCGTCCGGCCTCAGCTCCGCCCTGACACCAGGCACATTCCACTGACTTCCCTCTTGGGACTCCGGGCACCCTGGGCAGGGCGGGGTGGTGGTGGTGGGGGGGAGGTGTCCTAGGAAGTTTCCAGTCGGGCACTGGCCGGGCTGAGGCCTGCTTAGCTTCAGCGGGGAGGGGGCCTGCATCTCGCACCCTGAACCACAGCCCCAGGCCTGAGCCCAAGAGACAGAAAAGCCCTCTGCACGGGAGAGGCCTTGGAGGCTGGCAGGTGAGGCCGGCACTGGCTGATGGGGAAACCCTCCTACCAACTCCCCTGGGGGCTCCCCCTTGCGAGTCTCTTCAGCCGGCCCTGTTGGTTTCCAGAGCAGGCGTCCAAGTCCCGACTCCCAAGAGTGGCCAGGGTTTTTAAAATTCGGGGGGGGGGGCTTTAGATAAGTCAGGGGGCACCCTGCCCGCCCACCCCCCAAGGGAGTGCCACAAATAAAACAATAAATGGGAGGTCGGGGCTACGGGCCTGGCGAGGGGTCTCCAGCGGCCGTCCTCCCCACCCGCAGTGGCTGGCCTCTCCGCTCTGAAGCTGTGACTGGCACAGCCGTCTGCCTGGCACGGGAGGGATCGTGCCCCTCCCATGGGGCAGGCCGCCTGGGCTCTCCGGGCATCCACTCTCTGCCAGCCTGAAGGGAGCGCCTTTGGGCTGTGCTCGCGAGAAGGGCTTCTCCTCCTCCTCCTCCTCCTCCACTTTGTTCACAAACCTCCTTATCAGATTCCAATCTCTGCAACGGAACCTGCCCCAAGAACACTCCTGGCCCAAGCTTCGGCACTGGCGCCCAGCTGGCCAAACACAGCCGGCACGCCAGGGAAGCCTGGGTGGCCGGCAGGCAGAGGGCGGGTTGGGGGGTCAGCGTTACACTTCCAGCCAGGGTCAGAGGGTGCCAGCAGTGTTCCCTCTAAGCTGAGTCGGTGTGAGCTAGCTCACTGTTTTTTAGCCTCCGGCTCACACATTTCTGTCCTAGCTCAGGAAGGATGTGGCTCCAGAGCAAACTTAATTTATGCAGGAGCCAAATGGCTCGCTCACAGTTTTAATGCCAGTGTAGCTCACAGCGTGGAATTTTTGCTCACGAGACTCCACAGCTCAGAGGGAGGCATTGGGTGCCAGTCCTGGGCAGGATGGTTGTGCATTACTCCTGTGCCCGCGCATGCTCCCGCTGCCCACGTGTCCTTGGATGCCCTTCTTTGCCTGGGCCTGAGGGTCCCACCCGAGCTCCACCCGCCCTGGTGCGTCTCCTGGGAAGGGCGATTTCTTTGGAAGTCGCTGGTCTTGCAGGGGAGGAACCTGCTCTTTTTGCAATGCAAGGGGTGGGTGTGTGTGCGTGTGTGGAACAAACAGGCAACCCATGAGGTCCCTTTGCAGCTTCACCAGCTTGGAGGGCGGAATGTTTGTTTGCTTTTGGGTATTGGTTTCTGCCCGTCCTCCTCCGAAAGGTCAGGGTGGGGGATAGTGTTCAGGGGAAGTAAATGGTCAACCCGGGTAAAAACCCAGGGATTTGATGGTTGAAAGTGTCCCACGTCTACTTAAACCCGGCAGTCCACAAGCTGGCCCGGCCAGGGGAATCGCCGTCTGCCCGGTTTCTCCGGGAAGCTCTCAAGGGGCAGCCTGCAAGAATGCGCCAAGCTTGTCAACCCCGATTATAGGCACTACCTCAGAAATATAGAGATGTTGTGTTTTATTAAAAAGTTCTGTGCTTATGGCTAACTTTTCTCTTCTTGTTTATTAGATGTTGTTGAATGATACTGGATACAACTAACGAGTAATACATGTTGTAAAAAGATATATATAAAAATCAATAAAAATGCTATTTTTTAAAAAAGAAGGTGCGTTGGAGGGCTTGGAGAGGGATCCCTAAGTTGCCCTTTTCTTTCTGTTTTCGCCAGGCAAGGCGCCAGGCACTCGATCTGCCCCAAAGCACACAGTCACCGCTGGGAAGGTCTGAGAGACTCGGCCTGATAAGGAGGCCGTTGACGGACACCCTGCGGCCCAGGACTGGCGCCCCGGAACGTGCTTCCTTTCCCCGTGGCAAAGAGTAATGCTCCGCCCCAGCCTGCCGTAGACCACGACGACGATGGATCCGCCGCCGCTTTCGGGGGAAGATGGGAGCGGGCCAGGTAAGGGCAGAGGGAACGGTTCTGCCTGCAAGCCGACCGGCTCTTTTGAGGAGAAGGGGAAGGGGGCTTGGCTCCGCGGCACCCCTTGTGGACGGGGCCCGTTCAAGGCCAAGCCGAAGAGCCTGCCGGCGATGTCCCCTTTTCCTTCTGCTGCTCCAGAATTCTTCCTGGTTGGAGAGAGATTGGGGGGGGGGGGCAGATGGGGATCAGCGTTCCCTCTAAGCTGAGTGAGTGTGAGCTGGCTCACAGCTTTTTAGCCTCCAGCGCACACATTTCTTTTGCCTTAGCTCAGGAAGGAAGGCTCCAGAGCAAACTTGATTTCTGCAACAGCCAGATCGCTCACTCACAGCTTTCGTGCCAGTGGCTCACAACGTAGGATTTTTGCTCACAAGACTCCACAGCTTAGCGGGAGCATGGGTGGGGGGACTGTTGCCTCCGGGCACCCCACTGGATGGGGGAGTCTTTTCTGAAAGAGCAGAGCCTTGTGGGGGTCGACCGGGGTGGGGCCGGGAGCCCGGCGGCAGAGGGGTCTCCCTCCCTCTGCGGTTCCTCCCCTTCTGAGGGGGCAGAGCCGAGCTTGGGCTCCGGGACTCCTTCCGGCCTGGCTTCTCAAGGTGGCACCCCCTGTTTAAGCTTCTTCCGGAGCGTGGGAGTGCGCAGGCACAGACAAACTGTGCTTGGACGACTCCTGCCCCAGGGAAGCAGGGAGGCCAGGCCTGGCCGGATTGGGGCCCAGCGCCTGCACGTGGAGCAAAGGTCTCCCTTGCCGCAGTGGTCAGCCCGGGCAGCCGGAGAGATCCCGGTGGTGCGGCCGGCTCCTGGCTCTGCGGCTAAGGCAGGGGGGCGAGAATTCCGCCTGCCCCGCTCTTGTGAATGCAGCCAGGCAGCCCTCTCACAGGTGGAGCCAGGGAGGGGGGGTCGCACAAAGGGAATGTGATGGTACCCCGGCCTTTTTTGGGGGGGGAGGGTGGAAGTCCCTACAGCTTCCGGGGCGTCAGCGTGGCCCATGGATCCGTGTCCTGAGAGGTCAGACCCAAATACTTGGCGCTTCCAAAACCTCTTTCAGGGGGTTTCTTCCCAGAGCACCTCATGGGCGAACCCCCGACTGTTCAACTGTAGCATGAACACACATCAAACTGCACAACTGAGCCAGTTTGGTGTGGTGGTTAAGAGTGGCGGACTCTAATCTGGGAGGACCGGGTTTGAGTCCCCACTCCTCCTCCACTCCACGTGCAGCTGCCGGTGTGACCTTGGGTCGGTCACAAGTTCTCTCGGAGCTGTTCTCTCAAGGACAGTTCTGGAATGAAGAAGAGAAGAGGTTGTATTTATACCCCGCCCTTCACTTGGAGTCTCAGAGCGGCTTACAAACTCCTTTCCCTTCCCCTCCCCACAACAGACACCCTGTGAGGTGGGCGGGGCTGAGAGAACTCTGCCACAAACTGCTCTTTCAGGAACAGCTGTGCCAGAGCTTGTGACTGACCCAAGGTCACATCAGCAGGTGCAAGTGGAGGAGTGGGGGAATCAAACCCGGTTCTCCCAGATTAGAGTCCACACACTTAACCACTACACCAAACTGGCTCTCTCAGCCCCACTTGCCTCACAGGGTTATATGTTGTGGGGAGGAGAAGGGAAAGGAGTCTGTAAGCCACTCTGAGACTCCTCTGGGTAGGGAAGGGCCATGGGGCATAAATCCAATCTCTTCTCTTCTTCACCATCTCACTCAGGCTGAGCCCCCCCCCCTTCTCTCTCGGACTGCCTGGTCTCCCCTCCCCTCCCCTCCGCCCGCCCACCCACTCTGGCTTTTGTGGCTCCCCACAGGAAGCAGAAGGTGTCTGTCCGCCCTGGATCCCAAAACCTGAATTCCTGTCCGTGCCGCACACTTTGGCACTGGCCGTGGACCTGCCTCCATTCCAGCGGGGCCGCCGTGTCAGTCTCTGGCCCCCAAGCAAAACCACAACGGCGCCTTAAAGACAGCCAATATTGATTCTAGCACAAGTCCTTCCGGGGCCACCGAGCTCCGGTTCTGCCTTGCCACAATAGACGAGCGAGGGCCGCCCTTCTCGGATGAAAACAGGTTCGCGGCAACTCCCAAGGGAAGGATCCGCCGGTCAAGTGTGGTGAGAAGGGCGGGGAGCCTTCGCCACGTCGGGCGGGACAGGATTTCCCAGGGCTCCTTGGGGGAAGAACACGAACCGGTTGAAACGGGGAAGGGAGGGGTCGTGGAAAGCCTCCTCCCCCTCCAGGACCTGGCCCAGGGTCCAGGCATGGCGTGGGGTGCTGGCTGATGGTGTGGGGCTTCCCATCAGCCCATGGTTCCAGTGGGGCACTCTGGGGGGTGGTCAACCTGTGTACAACAGAGGTGGGGGGGGGGCCTTCCTGGGTTGCTGTTTTTTCCTCCAAAAGCCCTGCCAGGGCAGGCGCGAGCGGTCAGGCCACTCGGG